TGGGCATAGTTATCTTGACATGGCTGGTAATTGCCTACAGACTCACCAATTAAACTCCAAACCAGAAAAGAAAGTCCCCTTTATTTCCCCACCATCACCTGCTCAGGAGCCTTGGTACCATGCTGGTGGGCTGTTCTCCTCATAACTTCCCAATGTTAGAAGGTTTCTGAGGAATTTTTTCTCTTTGCTTTGATACAGACCAATTCCAGTCTAATTTGTGTAGGTAGCCTATATCGTTGCTGGGTATTTATTTTTCACTCTCTTTTATATCTAAAAATGTGATTATTTGAACAAGATATACGATGTTTCAAAATGTATAGTAACATTTGGACACCTTGGAGAGAAACTTGTACAGAAAATGCACCTGTTCTGAAGTGTGAAATACCCTTGTGATGGAGGATGAGAGAGATTTGGGGATGCTTATCTTTTGAACTTCCTCCTTTCAGTATAATCTAAATTTGAAATTAGGTTGGGAATCTATGATGAAGAAATACAATCTATATTGAGTCCACACACATGTAACAAGCACTCCCTTGAAGCAAAAAGTAAATGTAAAAATGGTTGTGAATATTGTAGTGCGTTTAGGAAGCAGCCTAACTTTGTTATGAGAATCTTAACCATTTTTATTGCTGGCCTCCTGTGCTGAAAAGATATGATTTCCTGTTTTTGCAGTGATATGTATGCTGAGAAATGATGCTAATCAGGACATAGTTTTATACTACAGAATTTCATGGGAGTCTGTGCTTTCAGAAAACAGCTGCTTGGGGATAAGACTATGTTACTACCTTTTAGTATCAGTTCTTTATTTCTTTCGGTCTCTAGAGTGTGGGATTATTTTCTATATCAAAGTTAAGTTTGCTCCATTTCTTTTCCCCCAATTAGTAGTTTCTGTTTGTTTATATTAAACGATTGCTAAGGAGATTAAACCAAAATCTGGTGGTTGGATCAGGTGAGATTCTGCTGCCTAAGAGAATAGGTGCCTGCTGCTACTTCAGGTGCCTTCCTAGCATAAGTCACCTCACCTCTAACTTGTCATTTCTGAAGGGTGTGGGACTCCCATGAGTCCCGTGTCTCCTCTGCTAGACCTGGGTGTGGAATAACAATAAATGTTTATGGTTAGGGAACTGATACCTACCAGTCATATCATATGTTCATGCCAGAGTAACTATATATTAAGAAGGAGCTGCAAGCTAATTCTTCATTGAGATTACATGGTATTGGTTTTTTATGAAGTATAATAAATGGCTATAGCTGATCTAGGGGAAGTGTAGTTTTTGATTGAGAAACTTTTGGTCAAAAAATGTACCCAATGAAGATGCCATGTCTGCTGTTGACTTTATGCATTAAAAATATACAATCAGAATATGTAATTGCTTAAAACATACATAAAATATTTCAATGTGCCCATTTCTACGTTTAATTGGGAGTTACCCCTTTTAGAATATTTTCCCCTGTCTTATATCTTAAAAGGGATCTTTTCTAAAAAAAAAATTTGAATGTGGTGCTTGCAAATAATTTGTCTTTTATGATTCCAGTTCTGATACTAGCAGCTTAATTTTGCTCATACAAGTGATCCTTCTGAATTAAACTAAACATACATGTATGTAGGATTAGTGTTTTACTTTAGAAAAAGAATTTAAAGAAACTGTTAATATTTGACTTAGATGTAGATTGTCTTACTGAAAAATTAGAAGGTGCTATGTACTGGAAAATTACTATTTGTGTTTTGTAGTATGAATATATTCATGTACCAGGTTTACCTCAGGAAAGAGACTCTTAAACGCCTCTCGGGATTGTTTCTGGAAAGAAAACATTGTCTTTAGAGATGTTTGCCAAAGTCCCTTAATGAAAAGCAGCCCATTTGTTTTCTTTGCTTCAGGGCATATGCTGAGAGTAGTATAATTGTGCTATTGCAGCTGTATTTCCTAACTGCAAGTTTCGTGCTTGATGAAAGATGATTATTAATGTGCTAACAACTCTATGTATCGTGATGTAAAAGTATCTGTAACTGTATCTATTCCTGTAATATTAAAGATGATAGGCTGCCTTTTTGGTAAAGCCTATAAGGTTTCATTGTCTTGAAATTACCGTATATCAAATGAATTCAAATTTATTTCAGGGCTACTTTTCATGAATGATACCTCTTTCTAATTTCTGTCACTGTTTATTCACCTTAGTTACTTAATGAATATTTAGTTGCATTTTTTACATTCTAATGCTATAATATCAGACTTCCTGAAGAGTTTGTGTAAGCCTAGAAATAATAATAGCCCTGGTAAGAGAGTTAAAAGGCGTAAATCTCAGTGCGTCCATTTATTTCCGTGCAAAGTGGAACGCTGCTGCCTGTGCTTCTTGCGTGGTTTGGAGAACTCTGTCCAAACAGGTACTACACCACCGTTGCCTTCTGCTGACGTCTGCTGTAGTCTGGTATCCTTTCTTGTTTCTGTTTGTTGCACCATGACTTTACTCATAGGCAAGATTGCGTATAATTTTATCTCTCTAGGGGGTTTTTTGGTTGTTTTTTTGGTTGTTTGGGGTTTTTTTTGATAAATCTCCATGAGGAAATTCTGAGACTATCTGCTTTTCCTCTTCCCTTTCAGCTCTCTCCCCAAATGAAACATATCCAAGTTTTTGTCTCCTCAGTGGTGTTGCGCTTCTCCATATGTGTTGTGACATCCTGGGATGTATCCCTGGCTGCTGGAGTTGCCCTTAGCTGTGTTGCGTTAATTCTTTCTCAGTCAAGAGAAAGCACATTAGTTGTCCAAGGCACTTGGGGGGAACTGTGGGTGAGCTGAGCACATTGTCAACACTCTGGTGATTTAACTGCAGAGGACCGGTTTTGTGTGCAGTCCAGATGACTTTGGCTTGACTTGAAAGCAGCCCAGATGTAGGTGAAGGAATTTTGTAAGTGAGTAGCAGTCAGCCTAGGAATGGTGCCTGAGCTGGAACCAGAGTTAACTCTGCAGTGGAGGAACCCCTTGTTGGCTTGGATATTTAGTCTGATATTGGGAGCAAACAAAATATCACCGGGTGACTTTTGGTTGTAGAGACAGACAAGATAGGCAGAGTGAATTACTGTGAACTTGCTCTACTAGTGTGTACGGTCTTACCCTGATTTTTATAGTAAAAGAGAAATAATGAAGCTAGGAAGAAAGCTTTCTAAACACGAGAGGATCCTACCTTCAGTCACATACTGGTGCAGCTCACAACAAAATCCACGTGAGTTCGTGTGAGCACCTAGATGAGTGCTGTGAAGTTGCACATTTGTCTTCTCTGAGCCAACAAAGTCTGGGACGCTTCATACACCCAACTGAAGTGTGCTTGCTTTTGTCTGAACTCAGTCTGTATCTTTATAGCCTTGTTTAATCACTACACTTTCTATATGATGGGACTTCTTCCCTTCTTCTGATGTAACCTGAAATGATTAACAGAATACCAGCGTTTCATTTCTACACATGCTGACAATAGTGATCACATTACCATGGGTTCTTGTTTAGAAAACAGTTTACAATGGCTTTTTAACATTCAGTTTTATTTCATACTTATTATGTAGATTTTTTTAAATCTTTTTAAAAAGGTATCTCAGCTCGTAGCGTACATTGGGATGTGGAGTAGAGAGAGGCAGGAGAGAGGAAAATAATTTCATTATTTACTATCAGAACTGGAGGGAATATTGTCTAAATTGCTAAATTGAATTATTGCATTAAAATACAGCTGGTGATTTTTAACAGTTTTTATCATAATTTCCATTGAAACTGAAGCTATATTTCAGAGCTCTATTTTTTTTTTCTAATACAGGAAATATTAACTGCCATTATTATCATGCTGTTTCCTTCCCAAGGTGCTTGTGAACTGCATTTCTATAGGCTGTTTCCGTGGTTTGATCACAGTCCTTTAAATATGGATTTCCTGAAACACTCATGGAGGAAGCATCATAAAATGTAGTTCCTTAAAGAAGGATGTTGATTTCTTTGTATTTTTCTTGGTGAAGATGCAAAGATTTTACTTCTGATAATTTCTTTAATGTGCATAATTAGTCAGTACTTAAAGTAGTTCTGTTTGTTGTTCAAAACCATTACATCCTTCCTGGGGCAGGCTCTGTGCTGCTATACTTGGTGACAGGCAGCACCACAACTATTGCACCATCACCTGCTGATTACGGTAAACTGTGTGCCCTACTCTGAAGGTGTCCAGGACAGTTAAGTGCCTGAAGCAGTACAGTCACTGTAATGCAAAGCTCTGCTGTCTTTCTCTGCACTGCACTTTTGGACAAGTATAGTGCATATTCTTATGTTTTTGAACTCTAATCCAGGGCCTCTTGGAGTCAATGGAATAATTCTCATCAATTTTAATAGTACAAGAAGCGCAATCTAATCAATACCTGGTACAAATGCAGTTAAAGGGTAACATATTAATTCATAGGTGACCTAGCTGTGGTGGCTAGTGTCCATTATTCAGAATCCAAGAAGTACACTTAAAAGTGGTTCTGGTTAGCACTGTTACAGTTTCCAAAAAAAGTGGCCACCACAGAATAAGGTAAATTTCTTTAATGCCTCTATTTATTATTGCTGCCTTTGTGATCCCTCATCTTTTGACACACTATGTCTGCAGTGCTTTAGATGTTTATGACAAATTAATCTGTGGTATTAGACAGAAGAATTAACTTACCGAGAGGGGAAAAAAAAATGCAACTGCAGTATATGACAGGTCCATTCTAAAACACTGAAGCATACATTTCCTCATACAGACAAGTACTGAGCCAAGCAGAAACTGGAATGCCACTTCTGGGGACTCTTCTGTCCTGGATAACAGGGCAGTGCAAACAAGACCTGCGATGCACCTGGGAATGCTTTTCTTGTAACAGATGGGCTGGGGACTCTAACTTTTATTCAATAGATGAGATGGACTTAGTGGCCATGGTTTTTTCTTTGTTATACTATTCTGATGAAACATACTACCATTTTGTTAAAACTCCAGATGCAAAGCCACTACGTTTTTGTGTTCATTAACTTTTGTACAAAAGGTGGCTTATTTGTTTTAGCCTCAGCTTTTTGGGGGACAGGGAGAGAAGGTGGATGAGATGCACTACTGTGGATATCAGTGAGATGTAATAAACTTAATTATAAGTGGTCAGGACTAGTCACATGAAACAGGGTTTTATTTTTCAGAAATTGAGTTGGACTTTGGAAAGAAGTTTTCACCTTCACAGCAAAACCATTTGATAGAGCCAAATAGTCACATTGCTAACATCTGTGATTATTTAATTACTATCTTCAGTTATTTAATTTTTCATACAGAAATCCTAATTAACACATAACAGGGGCAACCAGTAGTATGTTTATCACTTCTGTAATCGCAAAGAGTCAGTCTATAATGCTTTCTGTATTGGCTTGTTCACATGTCCAAATTTTGGTTATAAAAATGCTGACCATGAAACTGTACATTGTTATCTTACAGTATGGTCTTTCAAATTGCAAAGGGACAGTAGGGTTTTGTCATACCACACCTGGCTTCTAACTAATCATCCAAGATTTTAACCCTCGTTTTCAGATTCAGGGTACAAGTAGTACCTTCCCACTACACTGTAGTTGCCAAGGTAGTGTGAATAGTTGTGTCAGGAAAAAAAGAGAATAAAGAAGTAAAGAAGCAGTATATGAGGAACAAACAGATGTAAAGAATGAATTTTTCTCATCTTTAAAAAAAAAAAAAAAAAAGGAAAAAAAAAGCAAACCCCCAAAATGGCAAAGAAACATGCTTTTAGTGCCTGCTTTGCACATGGTATAGATGGTTTTACTTAGAAATATTGGAAACAGAACATGAGTTTAGAAGTAGCCAAGAGTCACCTTCTTATATAAAGTGTGTTCATGTGACTCAGTTTGAATGAGTATCTTCTAACTTTTTTTTATTTTGCTTGTTTGAGACAGATATAGTTTTGATACAGCTCAGAAACATTCTTGCTTCATTTATGTAAGTTCTATAGTCTGGTTTGGCCTTAAAAGACACACTTTTGCTTCCCTGATTCTATTTTGTTTTCTTCTCTTTGTTTATATTATGGTTATGATCTAGAGCTTACAAGATCCTGTGAATAAACTAACAGAAAAAGCAGAAAGGGAGGACCCGCAGATTGAGAGCACCAAAGCAGTACAAGATCAGCAGAGTCAGTAAGTCACATGGCCTATATATTAAAATAATAAGTATTTTTGTCTATATCTGCTTTCTGGTTGCTAAAGTCACCAAACATTTATAAATGGAAATATAGACACAGATAGTCTGATCACACTAGCTAATAGTAAGCTTAATACAAGAATTCCTGAATGCTGTAATGTGTATGTGAAAACTAATAAACTTTATGGTGAAATTAAGAGCTTTAAGGAGACCCATTAAACCTTTATATGTTTTTCATCTTTCCTAACCTTCTCTTTATTTTTCAGCTTTTGCTTCATTTTTTCTTTAGTGAAAGAAATGGTAAACAACTACACATGGGAGAAGATATATGAGCATTGTATTTCTCCCTTCAGCAGCATCTCCTTTCACCTGGGAATAGGATATGGATTCCTGATTGCTTTGAGCAGCGATTAGTTTTTGTAATGTATACAGCATCGGTTAGTAATCCAATGAAGCAGTAGGTACTTAGTAAAAAGTACATCTAAGTGAGCTGATGCTATCAAGGTTTGAGTTACCTGTAGTTCTGAGGTGAGAGAGACTTTTGAATGGCCTGCTATGGGGAGAGGAGAACAGGAGAACGAGATGTGATCCCTCCCCTACGGGACCATCAGGATTCAGTTGCGAGGAGATGCAACGTTGATATAATCCTGCTGCCACCTGTTGTTTTGACTATGCCTGGTTAAATGAAGCACCCAGCAAAGGATCAGTTGTCAAAAAGCAGAGAACAGCTTGACTGATAATTAGTGGATTTTGCTCGGCTATTTATAATAATGGGTTTTTAAAGAGTTCAGTTTTCCAGTCCTTTTACTTGTTTAGATTCAGAACCACTGACCAAAATCAATTTATAAATCGGTCAGGTTTGGTGCTATTCAGATTAGAAAGGACTTGGCCAAGTACCATTTGGCAGGTGGTTGTTTCCACAGCAGTTCCTTCAATCTGCTGCTTCTCATGTGACTATAATAAAGAATTTCATAAACAATTGTTTTCCTCAATGTTGAATATAAAATTCTAGTATGAATGCATGATTTATGCAAGATGTGTGCATTGGCATCTACCAGCAAATGCATCAGATGCCATGTCATGGTTGTACTTGTTTTTATTTATGGATTCTCTTTTTCCTTGTTTGTCATAAAACTGAGGGAAAAAATATGTCACCATTTTGCTGTCTAAAACAAACCATAAACAAACCTCTAAGATTCTAGAAGAATTACACAAAACAAAGCTTTTAAAATCCTCATGAACTTTCCATTCACAGTAAACATTCATTACACTAGAATTTGGCCTGAATCTAATTTTCCTCTGCTCCCCATAGCCTATCCTCAAAAGCAGGGGAGGTGGCTCCTCCTGTCCTATCACTAGAAGAGAGGAGGAATGTGCCTACGCAGTCCTCTTCACCACCACATCAGCCTTGCGGCTGCTTCATTCCTTACTGGTTGAATGGCTTTATACAAAATGACAGCAGTTAGAAAGTGTATGTTCGTCATTGAAGAGATTACCTTTGTATAAGAATTGCATGTAAACCACAGCTCTTTTTATTGTCAAGAGCTTTTTCATTGTCCTGGGTTCGGCTGGGATAGAGTTAAATTTCGTCCTAGTGCTGTGTTTTGGATTTAGTATGAGAAGAATGTTGATAACACACTGATGTTTTCAGTTGTTGCTAAGTACCCTGCTAGTCAAGGACTCTTCAGAGGCTGGGAGGGAGCATAGCCAGGACAGCTGGCCCAGCTGGCCAACAGGGTATTCCATACCATATGATGTCATGCTCAGTATATAAATAGGAGACGTGGTCCAGGAAATAGCGATCGCTACTTGGTTA